CATAACATCTTAACAATAAGTTCATAAACATAAACTGTAACCCACAAACGAGTTAATAACCAAATTCTCACAACATTAGCTTCACATTCTGCCCTTGGTTTCTCAAAGGTTCAATTAGAAACACCACATATACATAATTTAGCAGTAGAATACGTAGGTAAACCAGTAGGTTATACGCCTATTGGAAATTATAAGTAGTTTCCTTCATTTTGCTAGGTTGGTTTAAATTATTGAGAATGTGTGAGTTGTAATTTAGCTAGAAATACCTGCTAGGTTATATGTTCAGGGTGGACTAAGAGTTGAGAAGGGGAAGCATTTACCCACCATTTAGGAGTCATAGGTGAAGTGGCGACGGGGTAGGACAAGATAGAGACAGAAACTAACATGGTGTGGCGCCAGCGAGTGGCGACAGGCGACGACGAGTGCGACGGGTGCTGCCGCGTTGGAGCTATCGAGTGCGACGGGCTAGAGCTTCACTGGAAGGTGGCGACGGCGATTGCGGACTTGCAGCGGCGGCGAATACTTCACTGGAAGGCTGACTACGAGGCGGCGCAGAGTGTGCTGGAGTGTTGGAGATGGAGGATTAGGGATTGCGGAAGAGTGGTTTGGCAACCTCAGCATGATATCCACCCCTTCCCCCCCCCCCTTTTTTTTGTCCGAAGTGATCAAAATGGCGTCGTTTTTGTTTGGCGGAGACAATTTTCTCCTTTGCTTTGAATCGGAAAAAACGATATGAAAGCGCGCTTTTATCCGATTTTAACGATTCTACTAATGCTTTTGACTAATTTTGAGTAAAATACGATTTTATTAGTGATTTGAAACGTTTTCCTACCCTAAAAACGTAAAATCATACGATTTTATTTTATGCTTTAAAGCGCGATTTTGACTGCACTGGTCTTACATTTTGATACATAAAATGTTTATTTGCAAATAGGTCCAAGTTTACGAGGTTTCTCATCTGCTTTAAGAAACTTCTGGTCTGCATTATGATGTTTCTGGTATGCTTTAATAAACTTGTGGTTTGCTTTATATTTTGTATTGTGGTGAAATTCTGGTATACTTTATAAGATTTCTCGTTTGCTTTCTGGTATTTGTGGTGTGATTTATTGTGTGTGTTTATGGTATGTTTCATGATATTTATGTTGAGGCTGAATTAATGACAACTCACATGCGTGCCTATCCCCCAGTTTATTATAATGACAAACATGGCCTCTTTATAAATATGTATTATGGTATCCCCCGAAGCTAAAATTTTTTATATGGCAGTGCCTTAGAGTAATTTTACCAACGGTAGTAGCACTCAAGTCTAGGGGAGTAAATTGTCTGGTTCGTTGCCCAGTTTGTTGGAGAAGCCCGGAAAGTCTTGAACATATGTTCTTTAAATGCCCCTTGGCCACAAGGTTGTGGTCGCTCATGGGTCTAAATGATTTCATTTCCTCGGCCCCGACTGTGAATTTCAGTCTCTGGTGGCGACATGTTATGCTTTCTGAGCACCCCCAAACCTACATTCTCCTATACGTTTGTGTATTATCGAGGATCTGGAAGTCTAGAAATAAGGTGGTTTTTGAGCATTTCCAACCTCATGCCCAGTCTCTCGCTCGTCAGTGTTTTTTCCAAGTCCGTGAATTGTCTTCCTCCCTACCTTTGGTCCCTGCTCCTCCGCCCCAGCCTTCCTCCTCTCGTTGCTCGTTTTGGTCGCCTCCTCCAGATGGTTTTTTGAAGATCAATTTTGACGCTGCTGTTCGGCCTTCTGGGTGCTCGTCTGGTCTAGTGGTGCGAAGTTCAGACGGGCATGTGGCTCTGGCAGTAGGGTTCCTTCACCTCGGTGTTGTTGATCCCTACCTCGCGGAACTCCTTGCTGCTAGAGATGCCATTCTCCTCTTGGTGTCCAAATCTCTTTCTCGGGTCATCGTTGAAGGAGATTCAGAGGTCGTGATTCGTCAGCTTTGTCAAGGTGTTCTCTCAGACTCCGTTGGAGGTTCGGTGCTTCGGGATTGCTTCCTTCTCCGGTCTTCCGTCTCTGGTTTCTTAGAGTTTAGGGCAGTTCCTCGGACTGCTAATAGACTGCTAATAGGGCTGCCCATAGAGTGGCGCAGAAAGCCCTGTTACTCTCCCCTTTAGAGTTGTGTACCTTTGACTTTGTAGGTTGGCTTCACTAATGTATTGGGTTGGGCAGGGTTTTGGTAGTTTGTATAGGTTCTCTCTTGACATTTCTTGGGAAAAAAACAAGGGTTTGGTCTAGTGGTAATACCACTAACCTTGAACCTGGAAATCCCATGTGCCAATCTCTCAAATAGTAGCTAAACCACAAAAAGTAAATATATATACCAATTTTCGCATTAATTATAGCCAGCCCTTTGATATGAAAAAATTATCAAAACAAAATGCTTTTTGCTGGAGCTAGTATTAAGTAATAACACAATGTTAAAAATTCGAAATGTTAGCATCTTGTCACTTCCCTTTATATATTACATATTATAAATATAATTAATTCATAACGTTTTTGTTAGTAGTATAACGTATTTATGTTGATGTCATTAAAGTGCACATCCAAATAACCTTAGAGCATCTCCATTTGAATTGCTTATAGAATTGCATTATGACATGACATTCATTTGCAATTGTATTATGCAATTGCATTGATGTAGATGACAATTGCATCTTTGCAAGCTTGCATATAATGCAATGCAAGCCATATCATCTTTTTTATTATTAAATTATTCATTAATTTTATTATTTGAGTGTTTATGTTTTAATAAATTAAATTAAAAAAATTAGTTGCAATTGCAAGTTAATTGCATTGATATGGTCCAATGCAAGTAAGATGAGTTGGATTGCAAAAAAATGAAGTAACAATAAAAAAACAAATGGAATTGCACCAATGGAGATGCTCTATAGTTGCGCCTTCAATGCTGTTTGGCTTCTTGTAATACACCTTTCTTTTGACCATTTAAAGCATCACGAAGCAATAAGCCTAGCTTTTACCGGTTGGGAAGCCTTAGTGATCAAGGGCGAGATAGAAAAAAAATGCATTTTTATAATAACCCAACTGACTACTACTAAAGGTTGGAAAAACGACACCCTCTATTAATTATATGTTTTTAAGGTCATAAATTTGTGTTGCATTTAATAATTTGTCTGAATTAAAAACCTATATTAATTATTTTTTTTAAGTGCAATGATATCAGTATACATGTGCAATGGTAGCTGTATCAGTGCAATGGTGTCAGTGTACAAGTGCAATGACAATTCAAAAAAGAAATGCAATTAATATGAATTTTCAATTCACAAAGATTATCAAATGCAACACGAATTTAATATCAAAATAACTATAATTGATATGATGGGTCATTTTTCCAACCCTTTAAGGGGGTTTACAAGTTAATCGACCCTTTTAGTGATCATGATATTACTTCGCACTTTACATTATTCGAAACATTTATCATAAAAAAATATCATATTGTGTAAGGCTTAGTAACTATGTTCCACAACTATTTTCACTGTGTTGATTGGGGTTTCTCTCTCACATTTCCCACCTTTTCAAAAAGAAAATTAAACATTGAAAGGGTGTCCACTCTTCATCCATTAATGAATCTGGGGGCTTTCCCCCTCCAATTTAATCAAGTACAGCTGTACAGCCAATAACCAAGAGAATAGCAATGTTAATGAAAATTTGCTAGCCAAATTGGCTTCTCGGTGTGCTCCAAAACAACCTTCCATGGAAGCACCATGATATGGAAACTAGAATGAAAGTGAATACCGAATCAATTTTTCTTCACGCATATGCCCAAGTAGGGGTGGGCATTGGGTGGGTTGGGTGGATTTTGACCATAAAATGCACCCACCCGCGCTTAAACGGATTGATAATTTTTAACCCACCACCCACCCACATTTACTCTCGGGTTGGGTCGGGCGGATGATGGATGATTTGGGTGGGTTTGTGGGTTCACCCACATCACAATGTATATAATATAAAGGAGTCAACTTGACATGATAATAGGCGAAGAGAGTTATCTGGGGAAACAAGAAGATGAAATAGGGCGAAAAATATTGAATTAGTTCTTAAAATGGATAGAAATTCTATTATGAAAGAGTTTTCTACAAATTGAGATGATTATCAGGTGCAAGGAACTAAGAAAAATAATTCCACAAAGGAAAGAGCAGTGATCTAGGCACAAGAATTAGAGGGAAAAATAAAGGGAAGAAGAGGGGATCGCTATTTGGAAGGTTGGCTTTTAAGTTCAAACTCCAGGAGCAGTCCTAGTTTATGTCTAACATCTCCACTCTCCCCTCTCTAGCGCCGACGACGACGTTGATCTTTTTGTTGTTGGGTTGAGCGGGTCACCCGCGCACCCACCCACAACCCACCCACCACCCGGCGGATGGCTCCCAGCGGAACCCGCCACCCACCCATAGACCCACCCACTTAACAAAATTCGGGTCAAATGTGGGTGGGTCGGCCCAAACCCACGGATGATCCGCCCGTATGCCCAGCCCTATGCCCAAGTAAGGCAAGTATGCCCTTTTCCTCCTTTCATGTCTTGCTCCCTAAGAAACTGTATTCTAACTTGTTATAGTTTCTATTTGTATCACTTCAATAAAAACAAGTTATACCCACTAACAGACGAAATGTTCTCCATCATCATGTGTCCTTACAGAGGTCCAACTCCAAAAAAAAAAAAAAAAAAAAACCATTCTGGCTGCATGTTCCAATTCGGCCATTCTTCAATATCCATTCTGTACCAATCATGTCATAATTAAATCAAAACCAATAAACTTATAGGTTACAACCAAAACTCCAGACTGTTCTATATTTCCCATCTTCTCCTGCTTGTTCTTTCCTTGCTGTCAGCTAGCTAAGTTGTCAATTCCATTGAGGATTCTTGAAGCTTTTTGCCCCGTGCATGTTTCACACTCTGATGCTACCACATTTTGCATTCTGTAAATGTTTATAAAAAAAAATAATGAGAAATTTATTTACAGATGAGGAGGGCTTAGTTATGGCAAGGGATATGGAAGTGGAGAAGGTCCTGCAGCTTATTCCGCCGGCACAATCAGAAGCTACAACAGCCGCCGCTGCTGCTGCTACTAGTCCAGCAGCTGATCAAGCAATGCTGATAAGCAAAGGCACCACATTTATCAGAACTTGCTTCAATGCAATCAATTCCATATCTGGTCCACTCTCTGCTATTTCTTCCTTCCTTCCCTACATATATAGACAACACAGCTTATTATGGAGATCTAAGGGTGCAAAATATTACCTTTTTTCAGTTCAATTGAGGTTGTATGTTGATTTGGGTTTTTTGTTTTTGCAGGTGTAGGGATCCTGTCAATGCCATTTGCACTCTCCCAGGGAGGATGCTTGAGCCTGGCACTCCTTTTCTTGGTAGCAATCCTCAGCCTGTACACAGGTTTCACCCCCCTTTTTTGGTCAAAATTTTTTCTATCAAAATTTTTGTGTGATAACATAAAGTTAGGTTGTATTCAGATAAATAAATTAAACTTCTCCCAACAACTCGAGAGTTATTAGAATCGATTGGTTTATAACATGACACCGGAGCCTCTGTGACTGAAATGTATTGATGAGTTCGAATCCCAGTGACCCCCCATTTGTTAAGTACATGGTACTTGGGCCTGTGAAAACTGCAAACCCTTATGAATGACACTTTCGTTTCAAAAGAGCGTGTTAGCATGTGTTATAAGATCCCATTATTTCACATCTCCCAACATCCCTCGAGTTATTGCGCGGTCGATCTGTTTATGACATGGCATCATCCAGAACTTTCTGTTACTAAAAATGTCTTGTGGTTCGAATATCGATGACCCTCGTATGTTAGAGCATATAAGATCAATTATATATCAAGCATCTCTAAACAACTCTCGAGTTATTGAAATCGAATTGCAGGTTTGCTCGTGCAACGTTGTATGGAAGGCGACCTGCTAGTCAAGACATACCCTGACATCGGGGAGCGAGCCTTTGGAGCAAAAGGCAGAGTTACGGTTTCAATTTACCTCTACCTGACGCTCTACTTGCTGGCGGTGGAGTTTCTGATACTGGAAGGGGACAATTTGAACAAGCTGTTCCGAACAAGGTTTTCAGGCTCGGTGGTGGTGGAGGGCTGAAAATCCAAGGCAAGCAAGCTTTCGTCCTGCTCACTGCTCTTGTAATCCTCCCGACCACATGGCTGAGAAGCTTGGGAGTTTTGGCCTATGTCTCCATTGGCGGGGTCGTGGCTTCTTTTGCACTGGCTGGCTGTGTTTCGTGGGTCGGGGCGGTCGACGGAGTCGGGTTCGGCGAGAGCGCTGGTCGTCTTCTGAGGTTGGGGACGTTGCCTAATGCTGTCGGATTGTTCACATTTGGGTTTAGTGCACACTCTGTTTTCCCCACGCTCTGCAACTCCATGAGGGATAGAACTCAATTCTCCAAGGTAACAAATTCCACCTTTTGCCCACATACTCCTCTGAGAATCCCCTCAATTAATTAATAACTTTTTCTTCAATTTAATTTAACGGGATATATCTCTTTTATATAAAGTTAATTTTTTTTCCACAGGAAAATCGGTTTTAACGGTGCTATTCAAATTAAAATTATATCCACCTTGTTATGTTACAGTTTAGGCAGATATTAACCATTTATACCACGATGGTAATGTTTGATAGTACATAAGATATGGTATGAATGTATCATAGTCGTAGTGTAAAGTTGTTGTATACATGACAGTCAGGGGCGGACCTAGGTGGTTCAATGGTTTGTACCACCTAGGTCCGCCCCTTGACAAACCTTGAATCAAGATTTGGACAATAAACTTGTGAATTTTTTTATTTTAGTGATGGTAGTATTTGAATTCGAGACTATTTGACAACCGTTAGAGATTTTTGGTTTATCTTTGACTAATCTTGATAAAATTTTTGGATTCGCCACTGCTGATAGTAGTAATATACTAAATACCATTTATCACCTTTTAACACCATCTACCACCGGTTAGCACTTTATACCAAGATAATATATGGTTGTCTATTTACTCTTGAAATTTTGTTTTTCTACAAAAAAAATTTATATCACAATAGATCATGATGAACTCGATCTTTCTGGACAAATTTTTTTATAAATCTTGGTTAAAAAAGAATATGATACAAAGTGATATCATGTCGGACCAATGTATACCGAAATTTTTCTCGAAATATACCAAAAATGTATATCATTTTTTACATCACAATGAGCCGTTCCATATGTGAAATAACAAAATTTGATATTAAAACAAAGGAAATACAAGGCGTTTAAGAAAGTAGAAAATTTATATTTAAAAAAAAATCTCTTAACACCAATTAATGGGCCAGATTTTGTTGTGCATGGTACATAAACACACCATAACCCTAACCATAATCATCGTCCTTCCTATGAATTTAATGCTGTCTCTTGCCCTCTTTCTGTTGGTGTTCGACATAGGTCTTGCTAATTGGCTTCCTGGTAACCTCACTCACCTACGGATGGACAGCAGTTGTTGGATACCTCATGTATGGAGACCACACAAAGTCTCCAATAACCCTAAACCTTCCCGTTGGGAGAATCAGTTCCAAGATCGCAATTTACACCACTCTGGTGAACCCTGTGACCAAATATGCAATAGTCATCACTCCAATTGCAAATGCCATCGAAGAGAGATACATCTTTTCCACCAACTACAGTCAACTTCTTAGCATTCTGATGAGAACCCTAATCTTGGTCAGCACCGTCGTCGTTGCACTAACTGTTCCTTTCTTCGGCTATATCATGGCATTCATGGGCTCAACGTTAAGCGTGATGGGGACGATGTTGCTGCCTTGCTTGTGCTACATTAGGATTAAGGAGTTGGGAAGAAGATTAGGGTTGGAGTTTATTGTGATTGTGGGGATCTTGATCTTTGGTGTTGTTGTTGGCGTGGTGGGGACTTATACTTCGGTGAGACAAATTGCTAAACATTTGTGATATGCTAAAAGGCAAATTGTTGCTAGATAAACGTTTGGCAAACATTTACATGTACGATTAAGTTTGCATTTGTAAGGAAAACCATGCACAAAATAATTCTTCATAACTATATCACTTGGTGTATATATGGGTTAGATTGGTGTACTACTGGAGTATACTATATATACTCCAGGTACTCCTTGTGAGATATCTATATCTAGACCAGGAATTATATCGAGTTTGGAGTATGATACTATACCCTAACCTCGAATGGATAAACCCCAGACCTCGATTTTCTAAATCCAACCCCAAAGTCCAATTTAATGGAAAACAATAATCGACCATTGAGATTGGTCGGAGCTCATCAAAGCACATCTAACGGTAAAATCATATGGAGTTAGGAGTATATAATACTCTTAAAGTATACCAATCATTAATGTACATATATAGTTTCGGTCACCTTTTTTTATTGCTACACTATCATGGAAATAATTAGTTCAATTGTAAATTATGATGTCAAATCTAAGACTTGTGAATACAACGATATTTCACTAAGAAACATAAAATAAATAAACACTCAAGCTATCAACATGATATACGAAAAAGACTAATCTAAATTTACTAAATTAACCTCGCTGTCACAGAAAATTTTCCTACAAAAGTTTGCAATGGACAAAGTATATGACGGGTGAGTAACGCGTAAGTATCTGCCTTTGGGAGGAAAACAACCATTAGAAATAACTGCCAAATATATACTTTGTAGGCTGAGAAGCAAAAGGAGGTATCTGCCGGAGGAATAGGGGTGGGCAACGGCTACCAGTCCCATTTAGAGAGGAAACTCCATCCTATATCCCAAACCCATACGGGTTAACGGGTACCCATTATCCATACGGGACGGATAACGGATACCCACGGATAACTCAAAATTTTAGGTGGTTTTTGTTATTTGAGCTTTTTCTTCTATTCCTTTTTACAAGGCCCGGAAAATTTCACTCCACTAGGAGACTCGTATAGCGGCGATTCTGATCTCGGTGATCGCGGTCTAGTTTTGTGAGAACACAACGCTAGGAAAAAATGTCGACTAGTGGACTATAAATTTGCTTCTGGCTTTAATAATTACGAGACTAAAAAAATGAAGAATGGTGAACACTTAAAGCTGGAAAAGAAAAGTTCAGGTGCATATGCAACAGAATCCAAAATGTTCTAGAGCAGGAATAAAATATGTGGTGCATCGTATAACTAGCAAAGTTGGGCGCATATAGTTTTGGTGGGCGGTAGTATGGGTACCGGGTAGTAACGGGTAACCTGTGGGTACCCATTTTAGAAATTCTTAATCCGAAGTGTCATACAGTAAAAAATTACGGGTATTTGGGTACCCATAACCCTAAAAAAATAGGGACGGGTATGGGTATAACCAAATGCATATTTCCTGTTACCCACCCCTACTGAGGAAGAGCTTGCGTCCGATTAACTAGTTTGTGAGATAATAACTTACCAAGGCGATGATTAGTAGCTCGTCCGAGATGATAATACGCCACACTGGTTTGTATGTGGGCACCGGGCCGGGCCGCACACGTCATAGCATTTGTTAATTTTTTTAGTTAATAATTTCAATTAATCTGATATGAAAAATGGGTGCCTTCTACGGTACCCCGGGTGAAATCCGGGGTACCGCATACCCTGAGTATGAAAACGCTATCTAGACCTCGAATTAGCAGGGTTTTTGGGCATGATACTATACCCTAACCCTTAATGAGTGAACCCTAGGTCCTAATTATCTAAATCATAAACTATAAACTCTAAGATGGTGCATTGATTTTTTTGCCTATATTTGGACGAATCATAACCGTCGATTATTATTTCTAACTAAATTGATCTTGGGGTATAAGATTAAGTGAATTAAGACCTATATTTCGATCTTTATGGATTAGAGTATAGTATCATGTCCGAAAGATCAGTCAATTCAAATTCTAGATAGCGTTTTTTTACTCAAGGTATGCGGTACCCCGGATTTTACCCGGGGTACCGTAGAACTCGCCATGAAAAATGATATATAGTTAGTATAAATTTTGTGAGAGATCGAAAATATTCTTAGTTTCAACGCTTGAGATTCGTGCTTAAGTTAGAGTGGCTAAAGCAAAAAAAATAAGGTTATGTACCAAAATCCCAGCCTCATTCTTTATTTTGACGATTTTGCGTAGATGTAGGTTGCCATAAATATTGGAGATACAGTAAGATATAAAATATTAAAGAAATGGAGATTTACCTGCTGTTTAACCTTTATATTCAATTTATTAATCTTTCAATGTTTTAGTAGAGATTAATGGTCGGTTTTGATCTTTGACTCTAGTTAGAGAAGATGGTTCATCGCCATAACTTTTTCCGATCAATTATTAGGTGATCATAATTTGTTTTGAAACTCCAAATTTATAATACTAAAAAAATACACTAATGCAAATGACATGTAGCTTGGTAAGCTTGATTTGACGATAGCAAGCTCTTGGATACTATCACATTTTGTCTTAAGGAAGTTATGTATTGAAATCTCAGCCTCACTTATTATTTTGACAACTCCTCATTGGATGAACTATGCATTGGCCTTGAATATTAGAGAAAACATTCGCATTTTGAATATCAATGACTTGTTAGATTAAAATTGGGTTTACCACCTCTCCATTCTTTGTTTTCAACTTGTTTAAATTTGTTAAAGTTTTAGTGGGGATTAGTGCTCAGGTTTGAACTTTAACTCTCGTATGAGGAGCTGTGCATCGCCATCATTTTTATCACACAAAATTATTTTAAAATTATAATTTATATTAAAATTTTCATAAATATATAATACATAGCAAATTAGATCTATTCGAATGATCTAAAGCACAACTTGAAGACAATAGACTCTCGGATGATATCGCATAACGTCTGAAGCATCATAAAGTTCTTTCTTGTTGAGACATGCAAAAGGAGGAATAATGCATTTTCGAACAAGATAGGGAATTTTTTCAAAAATACCACTAAAAAGAAAAAATCTAAAAATACCACTCATTTCCGCAAAATTCCAAGAATATCACCATTCCCCAAAAACCGCCACATCACCCCGCGGTTTACACAAAAAGTGTTGGGTGGGGGCGCGGATTTCGCTGAAAACCGCATAGTTTGGGGGCGTTTATATTAACCGCATGGGGTCGGGGCGGTTTGGTTGCAATTCGGTGCCCACCCCCAGCGGTTTGGTCTAAATTTTTTTTTATCAATCCTAACCTAGGTGGAAAACTTTAAACGAACGTATCTTTGTGCTCGGGTATCTTTGTCAATCCGGTTTAGCCAGTTGGCCCGGTCGAGCAAATGGATTGAGGGTTAATGGTCTGACCGTTTTAGCCCGAATATATAGAAAAAGTCATTATATTGTTCGTACATTTAAAAATTATATCAAATCTCATCTAATATATGAGTAATAACATATAACATTACACCAAAATAACATGTCGTACTTATAAAAAACGACACAGTTTGACCTCCAACCCGTTACCTTACAGCGGTCGGCCCTTCTAATACGTGCGACTCGTTTTTCTCCCCAGGTCAGGGTCAAAGTAGGCCAACCGACGGGTCCAGTAGGATAAAGACAAGGAGGACTGAAGTTCCAAATTTTAGGACAAGTTCATGATAGGAATCAATGCATTGAAAATGGCAATCACAGGGTCAAAATAGACCTCAAACCGGGACACTAAACATACACATATTGAAGGCCAGCCGACCTAAGACGAATCATGAGTTAGAAATACTTAACAATCGTTGTTCACACACGTTAATAAATTGGAAAATAAAAACGTAAAATCCAATGAATGAATTCACATGATTTGGCAACCATTATGCTTGCTATTGATTCTGTTTCCTTAATCACCAATCATCGTCCCCACCCTTTCCTTTTCTGCTATAAATACACCTATTCCAAGCAACTTCCCACACCACACTCCCTAAACGGCAAACACCAGAAAGAAAAACACGATGAAGGCAAGTTCAGGAGCCCTGATCCAGGCTTTGGTAGCCCTGTCCCTGGCTGGGCTCTCTGTTTCCAAGGATTTCGATTTCTTCTACTTTGTTCAGCAGGTAATCAATCTCAACTCGACATTGTGATGAATACCCAGTTCAGATTTTTTTCTTCTTTTTTCGTTTTGTCATTTTTTTTGAAGTGTAACAATGGCTGTGCTGCTGCATGGTGGTGACAGTGGCCTGGATCATACTGTGACACACAGCAGAGCTGCTGCTACCCGACCACCGGAAAGCCTGCTCCTGATTTTGGGGTTCATGGCCTTTGGCCTAATTACAACGATGGCACTTACCCTTCCAATTGTGACTCCAGTAACCCATTTGACCAGAGCAAGGTAACCCCGACACCAAATCTCCTCCACGGTGTTTGTAAAATCGTATCGTACTAATTGTTCTACTGGAAAAACATCCTACCAGAGTCTAAATAAATTGACGATTTTTAACGGTATGAAACGACTGAACCACGATTGAAGCATAAAATATCCTACGGCTAACTAGAATTTTCTAGTACAATCTCCATTTACAAACATTTTCCAATGTTATTGCAATCGTTTTCACTTGGGCATATGCGTCTTTCTTCCTCTACATTTCCAATTTGAGCAAGAAACAGGGGAGAAAGGGGAAACACATCGGAAGTGATCGGCATCGATATTTTCAATATGATGACAGTGAAATTGGATTTTAGTCAATCGTCCGTTTACGTTATCAACCAACAAGCCAACCCAATTTCAACGGAAATTCCAATCATCACATGAGAAAACCCAGAAATAAGACTTTCCTCTCTGTCTCTAGCTTTTGGGGAAAGAAATGGACAACATTAATACAGATGCAGACAGCTTGCCTTCTTTCAAAATCTTCCCTTGTTTACAACACTGCTGTATCATTTCAGTGATCATTTAGACTGGCCTCTCTTTATGCTGCTCATAATTCCAAAGAGTTCCTTCTTAGCACCTGTAAAATTGAACTTTGTTTTTCCCCCAATTTGACACCAGGTTTCAGATTTAATCAGTAAGATGCAAAAGGACTGGCCAACTCTTGCTTGCCCCAGCGGCGATGGAGTCACATTCTGGTCACACGAATGGGACAAGCATGGCACCTGCTCTGAAGACGTTCTCGACCAACACAGTTACTTCTCGAAAGCCCTCGCCTTGAAGACCCAGACCAACCTCCTCCAAGCTCTAACAACTGCAGGTACTTAAACTTGATTAATGGTGTCACAACCTGATCATACATCTCAAGTATTTTCGTCTTTGTAACGTGCGAATTACTCGTTCTACTTAACAGGAATCGAGGCGAACGGTGGATCGTACAGCTTGAGCAGCATCAAGAGCGCGATTCAGAGTGGGGTGGGATACACTCCTTTCGTAGAGTGCAACAGTGATGAATCTGGAAACAGTCAACTGTACCAAGTGTACTTGTGTGTTGATAACTCTGGGTCCAAACTTATTGAGTGCCCTGTTTTCCCAAATGGCAAATGTGGCTCGCAGATAGAGTTTCCTTCATTTTAGGTGTCCTTTTCTTGAATGTAGGAAGATGGGAATCTTCTTCTGTCTCGTCCTTTTTCATTTCTGTCAATTTCATGATCGCCATTTGTCAAATGTAAGTTCTTCCCAGCCTGCAATAAGGAATATGTAAGTATGTAAGAGAAAGAAAAATTGTTATGGTCCTTGTACGTTTGATTATTGTTTCAACTTTGCTTGCTGTTAATTGAAAAAGAATGCATACAACGAAAACTAAGTTACAAAAGGTTTTGTTTGTTGAGAAAATCTTCGCTGCTCCCGGCGTACCAGCTAGGCTGTGCACCGTCTCAATTAAAGTTTGCCACGTATATATCTAGAAATAAATCCTAAATTAAAAGTATTTATATTTTACCCAAAAAGAAGTCTTTATATTGTGCAACGTAAAATAGTGGCCAGACGACGGAGGAGATTTCTCGGCCCCGATTTAGACTCCATCCCAAGTCCCAACAAACCATCCTTGGTGTATCATCTCAATCCCACCAGCAATCATTTTCTTACATCTCAAGTCCCAACTTAATTGAATCCTCTTCCCATTGGCGCCGGTTATATATGGGTATTTTTGTGAGGGAAGACAGCGGCGGAGTCTCGACCGGCGAGGAACACTGCTAGTGGAGGCATCGCAAGGCACGACGAACGACGGGCAGCTGAGGCGGAGGCGCCAAAAGGAACGACGACAGTCGATGGATTGAAGGGTAAATCGTGGTCGAGACAAAGGTTGGTGAACGAGCAGGTGTTGATTATCCTTGTTGGGGATCGGAATCGTCACCGAGATCTACATCTTCACACACAGAAATAGGGTTTCATTCCATAAAAAATTTAATATGAAATAATTAAAAACGTGTCAATTGGTGATTGGTACAGTGCAACACGGTAGCCATGCGCCGGGAGCACCAAAGATTTTCTCTTGTTTGTTAGCCTAACTCGAATCAAATAAGACCAAAAGAGTAGTACAATTTTTTTTTATAATAACCTGAATTTTATTAATGACTTGTAGTCTCCTTAGCCAAAAGGCTTTGGAGGAAAACTAGTGGCCTAGCATCCCAGATCTCCTATTTTCCCAGTTACAAAAAACATGGGTCATACAATGGGCCTACTCCTTTCCAATTACTTTCCATTCCTCTGCTTTCTTACGATTGAACATATGGCTATTTCGCTCATTCCAGATCATCCAGAGAACTAGTCCAAATTGTTCCATCGTTGCATCATCTACTCTCTCCATTACCTCGCATATCCAACTTCCCGACAAAACTTCTGGTTCCAGCTCGAAGAGAGGTCTGAAAGACGATTGTCGCCAAACCCGGATTACCCATTGACACTAGCGGAAAATGTGATTATGGGTTTCTTCAAGATGGCAGAAGGGGCACTCCGTCGCAGCTTCTTTCTTCCTGATTTTGATGTTCTTCCCCGTCGGTAAGATATTATGCACTAATTTCCAATGAAATATCTTTACCTTTGTTGGGATTGTGAGCCGCCACAGTCTTTTCCAATTCATAGGGTCGTATACCTCCATGTCTAAGTCTATCTCTTCCTCCCAATCAGCCTCATTCTGATTCACAGTACCTGAACTTAGCTTCATATCTCTATAGGTTAGCTTGTATGCTGTTTTGATAGAATAAGCCCCAATTCTTTCATGGCTCCAGACTCTCTCATCTATCGTTGGTTGTCTAGGGATGGGGATGCTAGAAATCCTTTCTCTATCAATAGGATTGAAGTAGTGCTGCAGATAACTACTTCTCCACATCCTATTCTTATGGTCAATGAGATCAGAAACTAGTTTTACTTCCTCATATTCCACCTGAGGCGTAGTTACCTTAAACTCATTCTCCTCCGCCCCTGGTACCCACTTCTCTCCCCATATTTTCACATTGGAGCCATTGCCAATTCTCCATCGTAAACCAATCTTAACAAGCTTTTGTGCAGCCATTATGCTCCTCCACGTGTAGCTTGGGTTGGCTCCTACCTCTGCCTACAGAATATCAGTATTGGGATAGTACTTAGCTTTCAAAATTCTAGCTATTAGGGACTCTGGATTGGTTTGGAGATTCCATATTTGCTTCCCAAGTAGTGCAATGTTGAAAGCTTTTAAGTCCCGAAACCCCATACCGCCGACTTCTTTAGGTTTATAGACCTCTCGCCAAGCCTTTCGGGGGATTCTACGTTCTACCTTTCGTTGCCCCCACCAGAAACTTGAGATTGCTTTTCTTATCTCATTCACTATTCCTTGCGGGATCAGAAAGACTGACATCATATATGTTACCTGGGATTGTGCTACAGTCTTGATTAGAATCTCTTTTGCTGCTATGGAAAGAGTGAGCTCCTTCCAATGTTTAATTTTCTTCCGCACCCTATTAACCAGAACATCAAAAACTGCATTCTTCTCCCTTCCAATTACAGTAGGTAGGCCTAAGTATTTAGTTCTCAACCTGTTTCATCCCCAGGATATTAGCCAGTTCTTCTTTCAGCTCTCACACTCGGACTGAAAATTAGCTATGATTTCTGAATGTTCACCAACTGTCCCAATTCTGCTTCGTAGCATTTTAGGACTTCTCTCAGCTGATGACATTATTGGGGTGTTGCTCTCATGAAAAAAATACTATCATCCGCAAAGAATAAATGTGAAATAACAGGGCCTCTGACTGATACCTTCATCCCATGCAACCTTCCTTCCTCCACTGCCTTGGATGTCAGGGCAGATAAGCCTTCAACACACATAAGGAAGAGGTAATAAACATATATTCATAAAGCAATTTACGAGATGGCAAAAAAAGAGTATGAAGTTTGACACATCATCACCCATTGCATGAGTTGACCCCTGTCTACCAACGTTTAACATGACATGGTACTATGATCATATCTTTTGAAAGAAAGCAAAATCTTTTTTTATAGCAAAATTAATATCATTATGCACATTACTTTAAAATTAATTTTTGTGTGCGAAAATATCTTGATTCGGAAGTGAAATAGAGGAGTTACGAGCAAATTAAAAATCATCGGGGCGAAAGAAAATATGCCAAGTGGTTGGAAATTAAAACAAAATAGTTAAACTCACTAAAAAAAAGTTAAACAAAAAATTCTAACTTCTCTACTTCTCTCTTTCTAGCCGAAGAGACATGAAACGTTATGATGATATTTTAAAAATATAAAATTTGATAATTGTCAATTGTTATTATCACCATAGATAGAATTGAGGAGAGTGCTAGAATATTGAAATGGAAAAAAACTTCATGAAACTCTACTATAGGGAAGACTGTTTCTCATAAACTTCTGGTTTTACTAGTCATGGATTGTCAACTCTTCATTCCTTTCCTTAAAAAAAACATATCTTCTCTAAAATTTCAAGATTTCAATATAGAAAGTTCTTGTACCGGTCCAAACAATATGTAGATTAGTGGTCACCTGAATAATCTCATCGAAATTTTTCCTTCCAATCCAACCCTGGTGTTTACACCTAAAATTAGGTTTTTTTCCGAGGAAACACCTGGATTCTAAATCCGGTTGAGATCATAATGGCTACAAAGAGCCTGAATTTTACAAAGTCGTAGTTGATCGTTGTTGATTAGCATATCATCTGCATATTGATTCGAACCATGCAGAGAGCGTGTGCTTCTTCACTCTGACCACCATATGTACACCTTTTTCTGGTATAATAATCACTCATTTTTTTCTCCGCATTCTGGTATAATAAACCCTTCAACTGATAATAATCATGAATGTTTTACGAATTCTTCCAAATATGTTTTTTTAAGCAAGAGTATCAATTTCACTATCATATATTTTGTAAATTTAAAATATACAATAAATGTTTAGTGTAATTAGTTATGACCAAAGTTTCAACCCGATGTATACTATTGACCCGTTCAACCAAGTGGTTAAAGGTTAGTGGTCGAATTGGTTTAGCCCAAATTGATCGGGATATATAAAAAAATTTATAAGTTTCACATGTATTGTGCTTAGATGTTTGCTATTTAGGATTTTTTTACAGTAAATTTAGGTTCAATGATGGTTTAATGCAATTCTTCGTTGGAGGTTAATTGCATTTATTGATATTTTTTTTACTTCTTTCTCCTTTTTAGAAATGAGAATGATGCTTTAATTCTCTCTCTCTCCATCACCACCTTTTTCTTCCTCCCATCTCTTTCCTCTCTCTCTCTGCCGCCACCACTATCGCAGCCCTCCCGCTGACTCGTCGCGCCCTCCGCCTCCCACCACCTTCTTAGCCCTCACGTCCGGTCGTTGCGCCCCCCGCCTTCAACCATCGCCGCAGCCATCGCGCCCTCCACCTCCCACAGCCGCCGCAACATCACCCTCTCCCCGTCGCAGCCCTCCCACCCCTATCTGTCGCCACCACCGCCGCCACCGCGAAGTCACCACCACTCTCTTGGCTCCCCATTTCCTCATCCCCGATTTTATTTTTCAGATCTGTGATTTTTTAAATTTCAGATCTGGTTTTTTGTGTTAATCTCTAGTGGTACGCTACCACTACTCACTGGTAGCGCTACCAGTGAGTAGTGGTAGTGTACCACTAACGCACTGACAAATTTATACGTTTTTGCAGGTGGCCGGAGTGAGTCTAATTGAAGGATTTCACCGGGAAAAAGTCTGCCAGTCGAAGAAAGTGTGGCGGTCGGAGGGTAGAGGCTGCTGAAAAAAGAAGAGAGATATAGAAAGATATAAGTGTATTAATTGTAGGGTTTTTTTTTCAAAAGCATGTATTTAATATGAGTTATTAACTAACAATGTGTAATTAATAAAAAAAATTATTAATAAATTTATTTTTTCATACCCAAAATGCCCTTGGTTGTGAATCTCACAACCCCTTAAGGGGAGTGACTGTATCTCATTCCTTCTAACTCCCCTTAAACATATATTCTTTTTTTATTGACCATTCTACTAGTTGATTAACGAGCTAGTGGCATTCGGCAGTCATACCGGAATCAGGTACTACTCTATTTCTCTTCCTTATTACGTACGAATATAGATGATATATGTTTATATATATGGCAAAGGCTAGCGTACGCCCAGACGTACCCTAGCCTACCGTACGCCCGTTGAGTTTTTCTATTTAGACAATAAATTAACCGGAGTTTGGGGCATGATACTATATCATAACCCCTAATGGGTGAACCCCAGTCCGCAATTCACTAACCCAAAGCATAATATCCATTTAATCTTGAAATGAAAATCAACGGTTCTGATTCGTCGAAATTATTGTTGATTTTCATTTCAAGATTAAACTAATCTCATGATTTGGGTTAGAAAACTAGGGACTGTGGTTTATCCATTAGTGGTTAGGGTATAGTGTCATGCCCAAAACTCCGATTAATTCATGATCTAAATAGCAAAACTCAAACATGTTTACGGTAGCCTAACGTACGCCCGGGTGTACGCTAGCCTGAACCTATATATATATACAAATATAGTAATGACTAGTATACTCAAGGCTTGACTATACAATACTCCATGTGATATGACTGTTAGATCTCCTTTTCTGAGCTCCGACCAATCTCAATGATCAATTAATATTTTTTATTAACTTGAACTTCTGGAGTATGCTAAGTATACCATTCATCACCATATATATACTCAGATCCATGTATTGAAAGGAAAACTTGATTCCTGTGAATGATCGTATAAACAATTACGATGTCGTCTCATATCCCTTGTTATGTCTGTCATTCGTTAGATTGGTACACGATCATTGAAATTTGCCATGATATTAACTAATCCTCCCTGCATGCATTTGATCGCTTTGTGATATAATTATCTTTATGCATGCAAATGAAGTTGGTGTGAATTGCAGTGGCAACGTGTGTCATTCTCTATGCATTATAATGACTATCCAAAGTTACTTTGTGTGTACCAATTAGTGTGTACATTCTGTTAGAACAAGATGGCATGAAGAAGTCCAAAGCCGAGGAGTTTCATCCAAGTTGAGGATGATGATGACATAGTGGAGTTTTATCCAAGTTAAGTAAAGAGACTTTACTTAAAGCAGTTTTCCAGGCAATGCCATCTTTTATTATGTGTTTGTTTCTCCTCCCACGTTCTACCACGAAGAAGATGGATGGCATGCTGAAAAGATTCTTTTGGGATGATCTATTTAAAAAAAGACCATCCACTGGAGAGTAGGCCGGGTTCTCTACGCCCCAAAATCAGAGTATGGAGGACTTGACTTTTGGACGTTCCATGTGTTCAATATGGCCTTACTTGCTAAGCAAGCTTGGACAATCCTCACCAACCCGGATGCCTTGTGGGTTAAGGTCCTTAAGGGTCTCCATTTCCCACGCTCAGACTTTCTTGTTGCGCAGAAGGGAGGCAAAGCTTCCTGGATTTGGGCCAACATTTGGGAAGCTAAGAATTGGATGGAACAAGGTGTTATTAGAGTGATTGGCAATGGCAAAACAACCAGAATGTTTCAAGATCCCTGGATTTTTACCCGAGCAGGAACTCTTTTGCAGCAAGGGATCTCGGACTCAACAACCGCCGAGCATTGGATCGATGGAGTCTCCAGAGCATGGAAGTTTGATATGCTTGAAGAGTTCCTCAGTCCCCTCGATTTGCGCCAGGTGTCAAGTACTCCGATTGGCGCTGATTCTCTTAAGGACTTCTGGGCTTCACGATTCACTGATCAATGGAACTTTACGGTTAAATCATCTTTCCACCACTTCCATAACCAAGCGCGAACGGATCAGGGAGAGATTGATCTGATCTCAGAGTCCAGCAAAGAACGGTGGAAGTGGTTGTGGAACCTCTCCCTCTCTCCAAAAATGAAATTCTTTATCTAGAGATGCGCCAAAGGAGCTATGGCAACGAAGGAGAACCTTCATGCGCGTAAATGCGCACCATCCAAGAGGTGTCCTTTGTGCAACTCCCCCACCGAATCACTCCATAACTGTCTCTTCTATTTCCCACATGCGGTCGAAGTTTGGATTCAAGAGTGGTCATCCTTGAGTGCTCCTCCTCTTTGCGACCCAGGTACTCGTCCAGTCTTGTTCAAAAAATCATCTACCTGATGTGGCAGACATGGAAGGCTAGAAACGAACGAATTTTCAAGAACAAGGCCCCCTTGCCTCCTTCTACAATTTCAAAAGCCCTCCTTGCGCATCATCAACGGACTACCTGTCCCAAGAAGAGAGCTACAAATCATCCACCGCCTCAGCTTACTTCACCCCTGGATCATAATTCACCACCGCAAGGTACTCATGACTTTGAGATACACTGTGATGGATCGTTCTTTCACGATTCCTAGGAGGCGGCTTATGGCATCGTTGTTACGAACAGTCATGGTCAAGTGTGTGATGGGAAAGTTGAGTCCATGCACTGTTTTTCTCCACTTGAAGTAGAAGCAAAGGCATTGATGGAGGGTTCTCTTTTGGCTGCTGATCTTCTTGTGCCCTGCCTCGTTTGTTCGGATTGCCTTTCCTTGGTAAAGGCGATTTCGGGCCCGCCCGATCTTTGGCTATGGTGTGCTGCTGTGTGGCTTGGCATCATCAAACAGATTACCCTGGCCCACCCGCTTGTCAAGATCGAGCATTTCAGCATGAAGCTTAACTCCAAAGCTAACTGGGTTGCCAGGTCTTGAGTGAAGAACTAGCTCCCCACTGAATGGATCCAGATCCAAGATGTTGTTGCACCCCTCTTGTAACCCTTGGTTTCTGCCACAAGTAATGAAATATTAGTGCCCTTTGTAAAAAAAAATAAAGCTTCTCCATGTTCATGTTAATTTGAGGCCGACGCAATGTCTTCGAGTCCAGTGATGTCATCCAGTGTAACGAACAGGAGGAAGCCATGGAGGCGAATAAAAAGGACAACAGAGACAAAAGGAAATTGCAAAGGGAAGAAAGGGACCAAGTACATTTAAAAGGACAACAGAGGTTTATGAATAATAATTCGAAGTCTAATGAACAGCCAAAGTAGTCTTGAGCTATAGGAATCGGCTTCACTGAAAATTAAACTTCTTGAATTAACGCTTTCTCTCTATTTAATTTTTTTTTTAGAAATAGACGATTTTACACTCCCGTCCCTCCTCGAATTGGTGGTGGTGCCACTTGTCCCTTCTTGGTTAAATTCAGTCACTAGTTTGATGAAAGTCTACTCCTATTTATTAACTCTATCCATCTATCTTGGTTGCATCTCATATTCGTTCTTGTAAATCACGTTTACTGTCCAAATACATTTAACAGGGTACATCATCGCAGTAATTGGTGATTGTTCACAAAGTTTGGAACTTACAATTCCATCCAGTAGGGCAGTAGCTAAGGTGAATTTGTTTTTGGAGCCGTGACGCCAAGAAAACGAGTACAACTGCTGCTCGTGACACCGTCCAAATTGTAACGTATCTTGGAGTTGAAGTGCACGCAATAAACTGGTTCCTGAAGCTTTAATTAAAACACATTACCTTGCTTTTGCTTGGATTGCACTAACTGATTTCCTCCCTCCCTCCCATGTTTCCTCTGATGCAAAAGTACCCTTTCAAGTTTTGCTTATTATTAGTCAACATTGAAACTTAACCTTATATAAATGAATGTACAATAAGATAAAGACGAACGTAACCCTGACCCATATAGTCTACACGACACCTTCAAATTCTAACAATCTTTTAAATTCCATTTTCATATCGTACAAATCGTTAAACTAATGATATACCAATTCTAAATCACGAAATACCGAAACATCTCTTTGTCACAGATTGCGACCCTATTATATAAATCTTCCTAGGCCTCGTTTGGATGAGAGTTTTCTGTAAGGGATTTTAAAACAATCTCTCACAATTAGAGATTTTAATAAAATCACTTGTTTGGAAAAAATATAAGCAATGAGGAATTTTAAACATTAGGAATTTCAAAAACCCTCAAACACATGTTTCTAAAATAGCTGATGGCCCCCAACTATTTCGAAATCCCTTATTATTATTTTTTATTTTCCAACCGTTGTCCTTTCTTACTTGCTTCTTCCTTCGACTTGCAGCTTCACCGTGACACCACTCAACGCCAACCACATTCAACACCAACACTCAACCTCGACCGTGGCCAAGGTGTCGCCCATTCCGTTGCCGCTATCATCGTCGTCGCCCCACATGTCGCAACTTCCGTCATCGCCGTCGTCGTCCATCCAACCTTCGCCCTATTCTTGAACCAAATCTGGGTTCTGCTGCGTGGGTCAAGGAGCAGATTTTTAGTTACGCCTTCTTCTTCCCCAACCCAACGATTCTCTGAGATGGCAATTTTTGGCACATCGAGGCGATTTCTGGCGACACGTTCTTCTTAAAAAATCCATCGCAAATTGGTTGTTCTCTGGGACCTGGCATGAGAAATCAATAGGAAGCGAGCTAGGATTGATTTTGGGGGTTATTGGGAAGTGGAAATCTTGGACAGGTAGTGGCCGCAAAAAGAAGAAGGAAGAGGAAGCAGTTGACTTGTACTTGTTTGCATCCTCTGACTCTCATTGGGGAAGTTTGCAACGGGGACACAAGTAGAATAAATCTGGGTTCATATGTTTTAACAATGAAGAACAGGATGAACAAAACAAGGGCAAAATAGAAATTTGGCTTTTTTCATTAAAAACCCATATCCAATTCCAAATGAGTTATTTGGTACAAATCTTATGTTTAAATTTCCTGGATTTTTAAACGAGAGATTTTAACCCAATTCTCTAACAAATCCTTCGTATTAAAATTCTGCATCCAAACGACCCCCTAAGATAATTGATAGAAATCGTGAGAGAGCAAGGAAAGAGATGGGCGGCTAAGTCAACAGAACAACAAACAAACTTCATTGACAAAAAAAAGAAATGAAGCGAGGGGAAAGCAAGTTATTGTGACATAAACTTGAGACCGTCACAACTAACATCAATCGGGAACCAACCAACCTGGCTAGCTGAGGCCGAACACGCAAGCGGAAATGTGTAAGTAAGAAACAAGCTACAAAGCATATTCATATATATATGCGATCCATCTCAGGGATGTATAACAGACAACTTCAGAAGCCAAACATCCCAAAACACAAAACCAAAGGCTTTTTTCGAAAGACTTAAACATGATAATGAAGCCAACGACCTTCTTCTCTGCCTCTGTGGCGCTTTTGATGTTCCAATGCCTTCCGGTTCTCTCTGTCGCTCAGGACTTCGATTTCTTCTACTTTGTCCAACAGGTTCGTTCGGTATATAGATGGATTATATATATATATAGCCAGGCAGGCAGGCCAACTGATGTTCTTCTATTTCAATCCACAACGTGCTGCAGTGGCCGGGAGCCTACTGCGACTCGAGGCAGAGATGCTGCTACCCGAAGACAGGGAAACCCACAGCCGATTTCGGGATCCATGGCCTCTGGCCTAACTACAAGAACGGCGGGTACCCATCCAACTGCGACCGCGACAGCGTGTTCGACGAATCCCAGGTTTAAATTAGTGCGGATTCCTAGTACTGTGTCAGGATTTTTTTCCCCCCCAAAACCCTGTGTCAGGTTTTTTTCTCAGAATGATTCACCTTGTTTTGATTCTTTCGTTCGTCCCGAAAAATTCCACAGATAGAAGACCTGCTGCCGCAGCTGCAGAAACTCTGGCCGACGCTATCCTGCCCGAGCGGCGATGGCGTGAAGTTCTGGACCCACGAGTGGGAGAAGCACGGAACCTGCTCCGAATCCGAAATGGACCAGCACGACTACTTCGTGGCTGCTCTTAAGCTCAAGGAGAAAGCCAACCTGCTCCAAATCCTCAAGTCTGCTGGTAAAATTGTTTTTCGCTTATAATGTTGGATCGAAATGTGTACGGTTATGTTCGATAAGTTGTTTCCTGACGTTTCTGATTCGGAACAGGAATCAGGCCGGACGACGGGTTCTACGAGGTGGAGAGCATTGTGGAAGCCATAAAGGAAGGGACAGGTTTTAGGCCAGGGATGGAGTGCAATGTGGATTCTTCGAGGAACAGTCAGCTGTATCAGGTTTACATGTGTGTGGACACATCTGGGACAGAGTTCATTGAGTGCCCTATCCTGCCAAAGGGGAGATGTGGTTCTTCAATCCAGTTCCCCAGGTTTTAGGAGGACGAATTCTGGATTCTTTCATCATTATGGCTTTCTGTTTTCTTGGATGATAACGTTGTGTTTATTTTTATCTTACAGCATTTGATTCTTCTTGTAATAGCTGAGCGGTCAGCTTACATGTGACAAATTCGGGAACGGATCGTGTCAGTAGCTGATGGGTCACTGACCCATCAGTAACTCCTTCTCTGATCTCCACGTGTCAATATATATTTCGTTACCACCCAATACCATATGGTATAGTGTGGTAATATCAATATATATTTTGTTACCAGTTACCACACAATACTATATGGTATAGTGTGGTAATATCACACAATACCATATGGTATAGAGTGGTAATATCAATTTATATTTCGTTACCAAGCAATACCATACATTACCATAGGATATAGTGTGGTAATATCAATATATATTTCGTTACCACTCAATACCATATGGTATAGAGTCATAATATCAATATATATTATCTAAAAGAAAAAAAAACAGAAGGAGGGAGAGAAAAAATCGTCTTCTGATGCCTCTAATTTCCTCTTCCTCAATCAAGAACACCAAAATGCCAAAAAAATGAGAAAGATCGGAATTGAGGCCAACGAGTTGATAAAGAAAAGAAATGCAATGAAAGAGAGTGGCTACAATTTTTATTCGTCGATTGCTAGAGAAAAAAAAATGAAGAAGGAAGAGAGCAAATCTAAATTTGAAAAGATGATTGTGAAAGAAAAAGTAAGAGAGAAGGAATAGAGAAAGAGAAAGAATCTGGAAAGAGATTGAAAGAAAGGAAGAGAGAAATAAGAAAGTTGAGTTGCAGAGAAAATGACATTCTCTCTCTTTCATTGAAAAGTCAGCCATTGAAATGCGGAATGAATAAAAAAAAATTAAAATACAAAAACGGACAAAAATGCCCCTCCCCACCCCACATCCAGCTCAGCCACATGATTGCTCCATTCCCAAATCTACAGCTCCTGTGTGGTTATTAATGGGTCAGTAACCAATGGTTACTAACCTTATCTTGGACCGACAAATCCATATTTTATACTAGCTTATAACCAGCCCCTTTGCCGGAATATTCATATTTTAATATTTATATTTATGTTTATATTTTAATATTTATATTTTTTATGTTATGTTTAAGTCTATTAATTCGTTTAAGTTTATTGAAAATCATTCAATCGAGATACTACATAAAGTAGGGGTGACAGTTCGGTTACCGGTTATCGGTTAACCGGCCGGTTAAACCGATAATCGGCCGGTTATTCACTAACCAGTAACCGAAATAACCGAATTTCGGTCGGTTATCGAAGGTTGGATGAATTGGTTTTTGGTCTTAAAAGTGGTTCGGTTAACCGGTAACCAAGATAACCGAGAAACCGAAGGCTATTTCGGGTGGTTTTCGGTATGGGGAGTGGTTATTTCGGTTAACCGATAATCGGCCGATCGGTTACCGGTTATAACCAAACTGCCACCCCTTACATAAAGAATGAATATATAGGTCGAACATTCAGGGAAATACCCTCCTCATTTAAGAATATAAAAATGTATCATTAATTCCATTTTCATAATGATAATTGAGCCCCCATTAAAATGATATTGGTTAATAAATTGTCCATAAATATATAATATAAAAGCTCATTGGAATTCCCACACGATCCATGGATAGTTTGAAACTGAAATGGAACCTCACAATCCCACATAAATGGTTCAAAGCTCTCCTCTATGAATAACATGCCGCTATTAAAACAGAAATGGATTTATAAAAAACAAACAGAAATGAAGAGTTGTTGATTCAAGTAAATCATATGCTAACAACTCTACTAAAAGGAGACCATCAAAAGTTATAATTGAAAAATATTTGATTTGTTTAGTATAGTTACTAAGCAATAGTTCATTAGCAAAGTCACACATATAAGAATTTGTCTCAAACACTTAAACTTATAATAGAATAAAAGTCAATAAAAAAATAAACCATCTTTCCTAACTAAAATTAATAATATGATAATTGATTTTAAAAAAGTTACCAACGAAATATTTTTCCATTAGTATAATTAGCAACGTCTTATGTTTGGATTTTTATAAGGACAAAAATGTCCTTTCTAAATTAACTCAGAAAAATGAAAATTTAGAGTTAACCGTATTTTCATAGAGAACCTCTTTATATTAGTTGTAGGATTATATTAATAAAAAAGTTACAATCATTTTTCTACTCTTGCTCTCATATGGAATAATGGGCTATATAAATTATTAATGTTATTAACAGTGGACCGAGCCGCCCGGTTGGATCGCTAAACCCGCCACCCGACCACAAAACTGGCTCGGGCCAGTCATTTAGCCTCTACGGTTTTATGGAGTGGCCGCGGTTAACCGCTCGAACCGGTCGCTCTGTTTTTCCCTTCCGGTCGTTCTATTTAATAAAAAATTGAAAAAGAAAAGTAAAAATTGAAAACGAAAGGCAAAATCGTGGGAGCTGGGAAAGAAACCTTAACTCTAATTCAATTTTCGTCTTCGACTCTACGTGAACAGAGGGAGAAGAGCGGCGCCAGACCCTGCCACCATCAACACTTCTCGTCCTGGCTTCCCGTCGGCATCATCGCCATGCCTAGTCAGCGTAGCAGCTCCCAGCTCCCCATCGCCAGTCTACGTCTCCGTCCCCTCTTCACGTAGCAACTCCTCTGCTCCCTCATCACTCCTCGTCCCGGCTGAGTCCCTGTAGCCGCTCCCGACTCCCGGCTCGCATGTTTTGGGATTGTTAAGAGTTAAGACTGTAATTTACTAATTTAGTCATAGTTTGCCATGATTCAAAAGTGTCCACTATTTATACTAATTGCATATTAGGTACCGATTTTCTAACGATTTTAAACGATTTAATGCTAGTCGGACCACTAAAAACCAAACCATTCACTTTATCGGGTAGGGCTGAGAAAACAGACCAGACCGTTAAAAAAACCGTGGTCCAAACCGTACCGTACAGTTTGGTCCGGACCATAGACCGTTAAGTATGGTCTAGTCTGGTCCATGGTCTGTATTATTTTATGTTTTGATTTCTTGGTCTGGTCTGGTCTAGACCGCGGTTTACCGGACCAAACCGTGGACCCAACCGATTTGTCAATACGTGCTAACAGCCCATTTGACCACTCTCCCAACTCCCACAACGACACCCAAATCTCAACCTTAATTTTGTGAATCTCGTCTCTCCTTCATTCACAACCACATTTAACCAGAGAGTAGAGATAATCATGTGTCAATATGACATTATGTTAATGTTTTATAACGTTGTGGTGCAAGTTGGGATGCTTTTACTTTAAATCTTTGTTATGTACTAAGAATTAGGGTACCAAAATTATTCATGCATGTTAATGTTTTAAGGCAAATAAAAATTATTTTTCTTGGTTATTGGTTCAATTTTTGTGTGATTGACTAAACAAATTGTTCATTTTTCGTTGAGTGTGGTCTATCTAGACCAGACTAGACCGAACCAAACCGTACAGGCGTGGTATGGACCGGACCGTATAGTTTGTGATCTATACTTCAGCCTCTCGATCTGGACCATAAACCGTATATATGGCTCGATCTGGACCATAAACCGTATATATGGTCTGGTCTGGACCAGATCGCACCATTTTCCAGTCCTTTTATCGGGTCATACTTCAATTCGCTTTTGACAACATTGCAAATTATAGCCTTCTCCAGCCCCACATTCCAACCCCAGTTTACAAGGGCCATCCACTTTACTGTTATTTACGGCCATGTAAGTTAAAATTGGTTTTACATAAATGCCCCTCCGTCCTATGTGCGTAGGAGGCAGTGAAAATTGAAGTAATGGGATTTTGGAGGAGAATCCTCCATATAGGTTGGTTTAGATTTAGATTAGATTAAATTAGGTTAGGTTTAGATAGATTTTCAAAATAACTACTCAAAAGAGTCGAGACTTTCTTGGAAGTCTTTTTCTGAAGACTTTACACCATTGACAACCTTATTAAATTTCTCTGTAGATGGCGATGTACTTGGGTAATAGGGGGAGAGGTAGAACTCCTCACTTTACTGACTATTGGGACCTCAACTGTGGTCAATATCAATGTAGTCAAAATCGCGTTTTAAAACTTAAAAACTTACGATTTTATGTTTTTAGGTCACTAAAACGCTTCTACACAAAATCTTAGTTTTTATAGCTTATGTTGTTAAAACCTCCGCATTAAAACTTAAAAACTTACGATTTTACGATTCTAGATCACCAAAATGTTTCTACGTAGAAACTCGCTTTTGACTACATTGGTCACTACAACCTTAATTGTGGATCATGGTTGCCACGCCGGTGACATGCCTGTTGGTTGAATCTAGTTCAATCGGTGTTGGTTATGAAACGGACGTGAACACTATCAGTATGACTGGTATGATCGATTTATGAATTTTAAGCAAAATAATGTCGTTTTAGTGAATTTAATTGATAAAAAAAGTTGATGTTATTTGTTGAATTGTAAGTAATTAAATTGTCCTTAAGTATGTTTTATATATGATTTAATTCATCGGATATTAATGATTTTTTTCATATTTTCATATATTTTGTTAACATCATGAACTTGTACAAACTACAAACCAGTCATACCATCATACTTGTCAAACCAGCACAGCAGTATAAACTGGTTTGACAACCTTGTGGTGGATCAATCATTACCTCCTTGCCTTTCACACAACCAGTAGAATTAACCAACTTAGTAATGTCTACGGTTGCGTTGCCTAGACTACCCGTGCATGTTTGGTTATACCACCAGTCGTGAAGGCAAAATTAAGTCCTGAATACGAAAAAAAAAGTCTGCAAACATATGTGTTTACCCATAAAAAATCGCTTGTACCACATCGATTAACTACAAGAAATTCAATGGATTTATAAGGCCAGCTCAACATTAATAATTAAAAGAGCTAGCTAGGCCTCGTTGGGTTGGGTTTTTGGGCCTAAATGGCCAAACCCCTTCTTCTTTATACGATGGTCGACCCGTCTTCGTGCCCTCATAGTCGGACGATGCCTCCACCCTTAAGTATGAAATTTGGCTTCCAAAAACTAAGTCTGGAAACAAGGCGACACAACGGGGTGCCAAACAACCGGATACCAAATACATAGAATTTGGCTAAGTATAGAGCCAAAGGGGGCACCAAGCCGTCAAGGCAGGCTTGGTACCAAGACATGGAATTTGGCTAAGTATGGGCCAAGAGGGTATCATGCCGGCAAGGCGGGCTTGGTATCAAGACATGAAATTTGGCTAAGTATGAGCCAACGGGGTCGGCAAGACAGGCTTGCTAGCCAGGCAATAGGGTACCAGGCAGACAAGACAGTCTTGGTACTACTACATGAAATTTGGCTAAGTATAGAGCCAAAGAGGGTACCAAGGCGGCAAGACAGGCCTGGTACCC